CTTTCCCTTTTATTAGAACAGGAGAGTGAAGCAGCAAGTAAATCGCCTCCTCTCCAGGCTCCCAGCAGCTATGATTTGTGATAATGCGCTGGTATGCAGGGGAGTCTAGATTCTGGAAAATACCCCCAAACGTTAATTTACACTCCGTGATATTTTCTTTTCTTTTGCTCAGGGTGGTTAATAAAACCTGTTATGACATGCTTAAAGTGCTTAAGAAGCTCTGGGAATAAATGAGAATTTTTCTATGCCTCCCTAAGGCATTTTCATTCCTATCAGTAGTTGTTCATTCCATTTGAAGGATTGCCCGAGGAGAAAACATTAAATGACTGTGCTGCAGCTATAGCTTCAAATGGGATTTATTTCCTTTGGATTGTGATTGGATTCTTGATTTGGCTGAACGGAGAAGGAGGTGGGGTGTGTGGGGGTCCTTCTTTCCCAGAGGGGTTTTAAAATGCATCCGTCCTTTTTTTAATATGAAACTGAGAGCCGCTCACTGCCGTGCCAAGTGAAATGCAGCTTTCTAACCAACCGAGAGTTATCTTCCCAAGAAAGTAAAGAAGTGTCTGAATTATAAGCTGTGACCAATACCAGGTGCGGGAGCCTTAACTGCAGATGAGGCAGACACTGGGAAGAGGCTGTGCTGGCTTGGTGAGAGTAGACATGAATGGAAGAGGGATTGATGTCTCTTCTGCCCTCAGCATTGGTGACTAGGTAAAAATCCTCCCTGATAAGAATAGTCTTTGTATTCTTCAGTGCTAGCTTCACCTGAATTCAGCTTTTCCTCACGCACCTTACCCTGTCACTGCCAGTTTCGGGTGCTGTGGGGAGCTGCCGAAGGGCCAGTCTGCCTCAGAGGTGGTTCTTGCCTTCCCTGCATGTCTGCAGCGTGAAGCTGCAGGAGCAGGACAGCTTACCATGCATTTCGTACAGGTGCTTCCCTGGTATCTCCACACCCTGACTTGACAGATGGGCTTTCAGAGCTTTTTCTGGTTTGCTTGTACACGTCTCACTTGAAAAACCTATACTAGTTCCTATGATTTCATAGCAAATTTGGCGCTTTGATTTCTGTAATGTGTAGACATGCTGCTGAGAGTAGGCATACACAGCCTTCCGTACTCCTGCATTTTAATCAAATTCCTTATAGCTCGTGTAGTCTTTCACGGCTTCCTCATCTGGTATTTGCAACTTGGGTTTAATTGACTTTTGGAAGAAGTATGTGTAATCTGCTAATGATTGTGCTGTGTTTGTTAGGTGATGCTTCTGAGGTCTGAGATCAATCAGTTTAAATCCCGTTTGTGTCTGGTTTTCAAAGTGAAAACCTGGGTGATCATCTCAGGAGCTATTAAGATAAACACATAACTTTTCTCAGTGTTTTGAAATCTTTCCAGAAGAAGTAGAATTAGGCATCCTGAGTGTTATTCTCTTAAGCTACATTCTTAATTCCTAGATATGAAAACGGAGGACATGGGGATACAACGTAGTGCCCCTAATTTACTGCTGTGACCTCACAGGCCAAGTGATTCCACCTGTTTCCCCAGTCTCCCCTCGGAGCTAGTCAAACTGTATAATAAATGTTAATACACTTTGTTTCCTTCTCAGACTAAGAACTTGGACTTCCGCCGAAAGTGGGACAAAGATGAATATGAGAAACTTGCAGAGAAGCGGCTCACAGAAGAGAGAGAAAAGAAAGATGGTGCGTAGTGTACTGACTCCAGGCAAGCTTTGCTCATTTGGCAGTGAGTCACCCAAACCCTTTGAGTTTAAGAGAGAGAGAGCAGCTGGAAGTGAAATCCCAAAGGGAAATAGCAGCAGTTCAAGGCTGGCTTGCTCTCATCCTTTTTCCTATGGTTACCAGTGAATATGTTTTTTTGACAAAAGTAATTACTGAGAACCTTTGCCTCTTTTTACCTATTCTTTGGGGAGGGAGAGGAACAATCAACCCCTGGAAACAAGGAGATCTCAGAATATGACCCAAGTCAGAGCTGGGGATACCTCACAGATCTACCTGGTTCTAATAGGAACCAGGAAATAGTGAGGAGGAAATTATATCCTTTACTGATTTAAAAAAAAAAGGTTCCATTTCTGCATGAATCAAGTAGTTCCCAGGTTACCGGCAGGCCCCTCTTCATCAAGGGCAATGTGAAATCTGGCATGTTGGCTTGACCTTTTTGATAAACACTTTGGTTTTTTGCTTGTGTTGTAGGCAAACCAGCTCAGCCCGTCAAAAGGGAACTTCTGCGGCACCGAGACTACAAAGTGGACCTGGAATCGAAGCTGGGGAAAACCATTGTCATCACCAAAACTACCCCTCAGTCAGAGATGGGAGGGTAGGTCGTGGTCTTTTTGTTGGGAGTCTCAGAGTTGTGCTGGTGACACTGGAGGCTGTCATACAGCAGTGAGCCCTTAGGGTGCACCAGGAGGTGATTTCCTCTTGTGATTTGTGCCTGGTGCAATGGTGCTGCACTGTATTACATCTAAACTGCGTCTTCTGGGGTAGTGTATCGAAGAGACACAGCAAGCTGAGTCCCTTCATACTTGATATCAGTGTTGCCCATCTCTAGAAACAACTGAAGCAGATCTCTGCTGCCTGCTTGAGTTTCTTTAGCCACGAGGCCCACATGCAGTGAGTCTCTGTCTGCTGTTGATTTGAGTTTCTGGTTTGGATATCTGCACTGGGAATGAGAGAAACATCCAGATACCTGTCCTTAGGAATGATGTTTGGCCACAGTTTGTATGGATTGTGTTCAGCCAAAGGCTGAAAGGATTCTTAGCTCATCCTAAGCTGTCAAGAGTTTGAAAAGAATGCATTGAGTTTGTACCATCTCAAGAGTAAGCCTGTTAGTGTCTTACTGTCATAGCCTAATAGCCAGCAGCGCTAGGGAGATGTGCAGCCCTGAACAGCATCCAGGGGTGGAAATGCAGGCCCTGGCTGGGTTTTTGAAAAGATGGGCAGAAACCACTGCTGTATAAATCAGGGAGTTGCTCCTGTGAGGTGATAGGGATGGGAGAACTTAACCTTGCAGCCAGGTGAGAGCCTTCAGCAGGCTGCAGTGCAGAAACCTGGGCTGCATCGCCAGCCCTGCAGTGTCACAGAGTCCATTCCACCCTGTTGGTTGTGACTGGAAGGGGAAGATACTGTGGCTGATGCATTACAGATCAGCTCATAATTTAGTTTCTGTCATCTGTCAGAGTGACGTCGGCATAAGGGTTGGTGCCTGCAGTACCCAACCCGGGCAGCTCTGTCAATCCTGGGGTGTGCCCTTGCACATTTCTTTTCACTGGGGCTCCCTGTAAAGGAAGTAGCTTCCCTCTTGCTGTGGAGAAAGGACCCATATCTCAAGTGACATGCAGATTTCACATTGTAGATTATCTCAAATAGTTGTTCTGTGAGATGAGGTTTGTCTCATGCTTTGGAGTTAATTTTTTCTCTTTCTCCTGCCAGATATTACTGTAACGTATGCGACTGTGTGGTGAAAGACTCGATTAACTTCTTGGATCACATCAATGGCAAAAAACGTAAGGATAATTTTTCTGCCTTGTTGGAGGGTTGGTTGAGTTGGAGGGCTGCTGCAATGCTCTGGACTGTTCCCTTTGTGCATCACCAGTGTCTGAGGGCCAGACATTTATATGTGGATCAAAATGTGCTTTGGAGATCAGGATGTAAGCAGTGTTTGCTCATGAGAGCTGTGGAGGTGCCTTTATCTCCTGGCGCCATCCAAGGTGCTGGACCATTTTCATGGACTAAGCCCAGAAGAAATAGTGATTGGTTTACTCTGGTTAGGTGGACGTATTTTCCCACTCAGAGTGTCTACCCTGCGAGAAGCCCAGAGTCAGCAGATCCTGATGTCTCCTTTGAAAATCTGGGGAGAGACTTTTTTACAGCACTGAAACTTTCAAGAAGTTCTTATCTAAGTAAAAGGTATGGGACTAGCCCGTTTTTGGATTGGAAACTTCTCTTTGTAGAAGTTGAGTATGAAGCTCAAAAAATAGCTGGTCCCTGAGCTCCAGAGTATGGATCAGAGTTTACAAGGGCAGAGACTGTGGTTTGCTGAGGATGAGCCGAGACAGGAGTGGGGCAGTTTGACTCTAGAGTTGGTTCCAGCAGGGTGGTGGTGTTAATTGTCCTGTACCTATCACTGACTTTTCTCTTCGTTGCTGTAATGATGCAGTTAACTTATGCCTAGATAAAGACAAGAGAAAAAAATTCCCAGTTTATCAGTCTGTTCCCTTACTGTGTTTAACTTGAAAAAGAGGACTCTACCCTTGTTGAACTGACTCTCATTTCACAACTGGGCGTTGCTTCTCCTTGACACATTCAGAGAGTGGAGAAAGTGAAGAAAGTAAAAGAGCAGCAGGACGCACTGACACACTCTTGCCACGTTTTCTGCTCCTGAAGGTGATTTTGGCTCCCTGTGGAAGTCAACAAATGGCCCCTTTACCAAAAGGCAGCGATGTATGCGATCCAGACCTGCACACTTGGCTGTTTGAACCTTTGAGAAATGGGGGGTTCAGAAGAGGACCTCACGGCCAGTTTGTTGCACCTAGGAAAAGAAAACCCAATGTGTTAAAGCCCTGTGCTTTTCTGCGAATGGGAGGAGGACACTGAAGTGCCTTGTTTGTCATATTGGGAGATTTTAGCAATAAGTTGATATGAGACAATCTGGAATCAAAAATCCTGGCATGACTTTGTGCATGGGCCTGAGGTGAAGGGTTGGAAAGAGGTTGATGCATAGCTCTTCAGTACAATATAATTTACAGAGTAAGTTTGGGAGCTTCTGATCCAGTCCATAAATCTGACTGAAACCTGCTTGTTCTTGGCAGCCCTCTTACTAATTCCTGGTGTGTAGTTTGAGCTTCCAAGTGCTGCTGTGTCCCTGGGACAAACCTGTGCCCGGCTGCTGGAGTCAACAGGCTGGATCCACCAGGCAATGCAGGTTGGAGACATTGCCGAGGGTGGCCCCTTCAACCTAAGCTTATTCATGAGCAGAAACCTGGGAATCTGCTCTAAAGAGCCACTGAATCAGAGACCTGGCTTAATATTTCATGTCTGCTTTAGCTAGAAATGTCCTGCATAATCAGGATCTCTAACTGAGTGCCACTGATGTCTTGTTTAGCTTCTCCCACAGCTGAGAGATGCCAGCCTGTCAGTTTTATTCTGGCTCCATTTTCAACACTCCACCCTTTTTTTTTGTTTTTTTCCCACTAGTTCAAGATTACATTTCCTGAAGCATCAGAACACCAACATGATGGGGAGCATCCTAATAGGGAACCTTAAAAGAATAGGCTGCGCTCTTCTTGTTACAAGTAATGTACAGATTGTTGTAGTTGCTGGCTGATTTAGGTTGTGGTGTCCGCCTAAAGCCCATCCCTTCCGACATCAGAAATCCCAGTCTGCATAGGAACGTGGGACCAGATGAGGACAGAAAGTGTGTACCTCTCTGTGGGAGGAGGCACTGCAGTGTCACACTTCCCAAGCTGGCTGTGGGTTACCTGGCACATCCATGGTGAGACGTGGTGTGGAGAGGAGTCTTTGAAGGCTGAGCTGTACCAGGCTCTACTGCTTGGGAACACGGGGGGCAATGCCGCTCCCTGCATTTCGAGTCGTGGGTGGCCTGCGAGTCGGTGCGGTTAGGTCAGGTTGGAGCACTGAGCCTTGAGGGCGTGTGGCCTTGTGTGTGAGTGTAGTCTGGCCCTGGAAGCTGCTTTGAGGGGACAGATGACAGGCAGGAAAAGGCTGCTGTGTTGAGATATTTAAATTGGAATCGGGGACTATGTGCAGACCATGAATGGCTGTGACTATTGCTGAACACAGCTGATTCCACTGTTTTCTAGACCAGAGAAATCTGGGCATGTCTATGCGGGTGGAGCGCTCCACGCTGGACCAGGTGAAGAAACGCTTTGAGGTGAACAAGAAGAAGATGGAGGAGAAGCAGAAGGACTATGACTTTGAGGAGAGGATGAAGGAACTCCGTGAGGAGGTGAGTGTGAGGAACCACTGATGAAGTAAAGCCCCCCAGAAACATGTTTTGTGAGGAAATCAACCCTGGTTCCTAATCTTGTTCCACAGAAGCCTGGTTCTTGGTAGCATGGGCTTCTCGTCTGCTGCTATGAGTGGGTTTTCTTTCTTTGTTGTTTGCTTTTTAAAAAGCGTGCTGCTGCTGTCCCTGGAAACCCTCTTTTCCATCTTTCTGTGTGAGGATAACTTTTGATGCTCAGGTTTCCACTGAGAGCAGCACAAGGCTGACGGTGCACCTGTTTCTTGTCGCCCATTAGTAGTGTTTGAACTTCTGTGCTCTGATAAGCAGATCTGTGTGTTTGTCCCTTCCACGGTTCTTAGGATTGCTGGGATCCTTCTCCACGTGGCACATTGCTTCTGTGTGGCTTCCTAGAGCATGGAAGGGCTTTGTGAGTGGTGTGCTGTGGTGTGAGATGTGTGTGGAGACAGTGAAAGACAACAAATTCCTCTCAAACCTGGGCTTAGGTGTCAGCTCCCTGACATGAAGATCAAGTTTATTTGAAAACCTGACAGAGTTCTGAGAGTTGAGGAGCTTCTGCGGATGCTTCTCCTCCATCAATAGCCACATAACAACTGAACATTAAAAACTGTTGCCCGTTTGAGTCTCCCTGCCCAAACCCTGAGCTTTGCTTCACTGCAGAGCTGCACACAGAGCAGTCCTGTGCTCTGCTCTCAAGCAGACTTCGAT